GGTGCAGCTTACTCGACTGAGCATTTATGGGATGTTAGGCAAAGAGGATTTGGCACTGTGTTTTTTAACATTTAAAGAAAGCAAATCAATTACCGTATCGCCAAGAAAAGGAGCTGCTGGTAAGTGACATTTATGTAGATTTTCTGTAGCATGGAAAAGTGGCCTTTATTTTTCTAAGCGATATTTGCTGCTCAGAGTCAAATTCTTTTCATGCAGCTTACAAAAATAAATACTCGTATTTTGCTAAGATCATAATGGCTCATTAGAAGAGGCTGAATTTGGACCTAGACTAAAACCTAACACCACAGGGCTGAGCATGCTTACTTGAACCTATAATGTTGCTAGTTCTGGCTCTCTGGGGAAGGAGAGGACGAGGGGAGAGGATTCAGCCTTCTTAATTGTGAACCTCATTAGTGACGGTTGCTAGGCAAAACACACACCTACTTTCCGCGCATATGAAAGAGATAAACAATACGTCATAGACCATAATGACTCTGGTGCTCAGGGCGACCTTTAATTATTATATTTTTGGTCTCTTATACCTTAGTTATTAATGCAGAAAAACAAATTAGGGTTGTGTGTGTGTGCGGACCGCGGCAGATTTGTAAATGGCTTTCCATTTTTTGATGTCTAGATCGCGTTTCCTTCTGATAGTTGGTGCTCGCCTCATTCATTCCCCTCCCAGCCCGTTGGTAAATACTATTTGAAACGTAAAACGACAGTGATTGTATTAGCAGCTTAGTATTGTTATCACTTTAATTAATTTTATTAGTGTAAAAAGCCATGATCCTGTCAGTGCGTTAGTAACAACTCGCAAGAGAAGTCCCGTGGAAGCTGGTGTGCGTGGCCCAGCACATGAGGTCATAGCAGGTTTGAGAGTCTAACTCTTCCAGAACTCAAGATGCATTAAAATTAAATGTATTTCAATGTGCATTAAAATTTTGGGCAACACTAAAGTCTTCAGGAAGATGAACTGGATAATCCCTCTAACTGAAAATGTTCTATTCTATTCTATTCTATTCTATTCTATTCTACTCTCCTCTATTCTATTCTATTCTATCCTAACCCATCCTATCCTAACCCGTCCTATCCTAACCCGTCCTATCCTATCCTATCCTATCCTATCCTATCCTATCCTCCCCTATCCTATCCTATGCTAATTTTATTAAACAGAGGTTCCCTGAGAGCTGGTTTGCATCCCTAGACTGGTATATTTTACAGTTCAAACAAAGTGACATTTAAATCCAAATTAGTATTTTGGCCTTTGCAGGACAATAAATACATGTGTGCACGCGTTCAGGCACAGCTGCAATTGTGTGTGAGTGATTCAGGGGCTGATGGGCTCCAAAAAGATTGGGTTTCACAATTCTGGATTTTCAGAGACACTTTCCATTCTCCTCTTCATCTCAGCCTATCTTCTTTTTGCAGTTCAGGCAAGAAGTCAATCACACTGAGTCAGGCTGAAGAAAAACATTTTATGCTGTTTTTCTCATCCAAACCCCCTCCTGCCGTAATCTGCAGTAAGGCCCAGGCACAGGAAATTGACCTCACAGTAAATTCTTTACAGATTCGGTCATGTTTTTACCATCCACTTAAACTTGCATACATAACCTGAGACTGTACCTCTGGATCAGGGAATATGACAAGCCAAAATAAAATCAAGTCAAATTAAAGAGCAAGAAAAAGCTGCAAGCAAAACAAGACTAAAATAAAAAAAAATAGAAGAAATAAAATAGAAAAAGATGAAAAATTGGTTGTGACTGCAAAACTGCAAGTATTAAATAAAGAAAGAAGTCAGAAGCTGATTCAGAAGCGTCCGTGTTGTAGTTGACAAGGGCTGAGAAATACTAATGGACTTTTTTTAATGGGTGCTTTGATGGATGACAGAAGAAATGATGTAAAAGTAAATGTAGTGGTGTCTCAACATAAAATGTGGTGAAAATAAAAGAAAAAGGGAAATAAAAAAATAATAAAATAAAAAAAAAGCATTGCAAATAAAAAAAAGGACATGTAAATGTGTGCCTACCATTTTCCAGATAAGAAGGGGCCGTACCTTCTGAGGGGTCAAGGCGGCGAGCCCGCCTCCCGTGTTTGGAATTGTTGTGTACAAACATGTTGTCTGAGACAGCCAGCACGTGGCCATCCACATTGACTGTTGTTGATACAACAACCTGGAAGAGAAAACAAAACCCCACATTTCAAAAATCCTGCAGATTTTCCCCGAATCAGGTCTCGTAAGACAAAACAGCATCCTGTTACTTTTCTGTTTCTATTTAAACCGAGTGAATGACATCTCTGAATACATCTTTGTTTACGTGGGGACCACTGGTGATTTTTAACTCACAATTGTTTCTCTTCAGAACCTACTACACTAATTAGAGTTTAATCTCCTATTATGCTAACAAATGAATTCAATTCAGGGAAATATTCTTCTAGCCATTAGTTTCAGAAACACCCCTCTAGCCACTCATTTTAAAAGCTGCTGTTTTGATTGATCTGTTGATATATTGATTAGATAGTTTATCTAATTAAAATTTGTTCACTTGAGACTGTCTTCAAATGAAGGGTTGTGAGGATTCCAAATAAAAAAAGCTTAATAAATCAAGAACCGTCGTAACTCCCCATTTTTTCTTCAGTAAATGATCTCCAGGTCAGTTTTACAATTACATTTAATGTCTGATAATGAACTTTTTTGCATCTGAAAAGGCCGAGTTGAATATGAATAGTGAAAGTGTTTTCAATCCATGAAAAGTATCCCTTCTCAAGTTCATTTGGATGGTGATTGACCCTGGTATGTCAATGGAATTTCCTCCTTTATTTTTGAGTGAAAGGCTCCTATTCTTGTGTCCAGGTTCAGAGTCCGGCCATAGAAGAGATGATGGATAGGGCCTCCTTTGGCTTCCAGCTGCTTCTCAGTTGAAAATGGCAAAGGAACATATGCAAAAGGCACAACCTTCCCGATGCCAACACCTCCACAATGGAGCCGTGGGACTCCTTCCGGAAGCGGCAGCGCGGGAGCGCCAGCCAGGGAGGAAACCGTGAGCTGCTTGGGGTTTGTGTGGAGCACGGCTTCGTAGGTGGATCGCCGCTATCCCAGACTGACATCTACATCTTATTTAAGTACTCCAGCGTGGGCCCTTTGCTGTGGTTCCAGGTTGTCTAAATGAAGTGGTCGCTGCAGATTTTCCTTTGGGGTGAGTAGAGTCCGTAAAGTCACCGCCTAAGTCAGACCTTATCAACACAGCTGGTGAGGGCAGACAAAGGCAGGACAAATCTCAGTGTCCGCTTTCCTTTTATCTAAATTTTGGTTATAACGAAGATGATTGCGGGGCTCTCCCACCAGCTTCTAAACCAAAACACTTAATGAACACAAATGGAAGGGGAGCTGAGAGCCTCCTCCACACAGAGCTGGTCCAAGGCATCAGAAGAAAATTCTTGTCTGCTTCTATGTTTTGGATCACCTCTGATCCTGTTTCTTATTCACAAGCCATAATTAGCTCTCAGCTATCACAGCACCTTTTCTGTGTATCCTGCCTCCTTGGAGACAGCCATCTGCGGTACCCTTTAGAACAGCCCGAGGGCAGTTCTCTGCCAGGCTGTTCTGCTTCCCCAGCTCTCTCCTCCCAGAAGTGGACACCTTCCCTCTTGTCAACATCCACTTCGGAGAGTGCTGAGGTTGCATGCTCAGCTCGGCCGCAGAGCTGCTGCCAGGCCACTGGGCTATCCTCTTTCACTCTTAATGAGATTCCCAGACCTCCAGAAATATTGCAAAACATGCAAGCGTGGTTTCCAGCCAGGATTTCTGGGTTTGGTTCCTAGAACACGGTATATTAAAGAGACAGAGCAAGGTGTATATGAAAATGACAACTATTTTTGTTCTGTCATGTCTATATAGGTCAGCCACCAAGGGAAAATACTGTAGTTCAGCAAAAGAAAGTCGACGTGCTACGCTTTGTTATATCGCCTCACTCCTGCAGTGCACCTCCACAAAGGTGCTGAGGCAGGGAAACCAGGTAAAAATACTGTTCAAGATCTGACATCCTGTTAAGTCCAGTTAAACCTTCTGAGAGGCAGGGAGATTAGCTAAAGAGACCCAGGAAAGTCTTTCTAGTGCCTACTGGCTCCATTGTCGACCACAAGATCACTCGTGACTGATGCTTCATTTAGTCATCAGTGAGACAAAGAGGACATTTCCACTCATTCCAGGTTTGACCTTCTGTTCTGTTCAGATGGATCAATACCACCGATGCCACGTGAAGCTGAGATGCATGAAAAATGGAAGCCTGGCTCGATTGTTTTGAAGGAATATTTTTTTTTCCAGCTACAGATCTTTTCTGTTGGCTGGCTCGAGGGTGCTGGCTTCCCCGGTTGGTTGGCTGTGCATGAAAACAGATGTCACATGTTTTGCTATCAAGTTTAACCACAAGTAATTCTTCTCCAAACTGAGAAAGTCCTGAACATCTCAATACTACTTTATTGCTGTAATCAAATACGAATAATTGTGAAATATTTTGAGGGGAAAAAAAAGTCAGTTATTTCCTAACGAGCCTTTAGAATGACCCCAGATACAGAGGAAATCATTTGTCCATCCCGTCAGCTGCCTGTCTGTAGTGCTATGATTCACCACAGGATATCTCAAAAGCTGTAAGGAGAAAGTGAAGTATTAAACATTTTCTAACACAGTTGAAAAAAAAATCTGTGGGTTGGGCCACCACTGCTGGATCTACAAGTTGTGAACCAGAGAAATGTGAGTTCCAAACTTCCCTGTGCTCCAAAGTTTTGTTCTTAAAGTAAGATCAAACTACTCAGTCTACATAAAACATTTGCAGGTCTCAGCAAAGAGCACACTACAGCACAAGGTGATAGTAGGAAGGAAAATTAGGGAAATAATTCCTACGGGAAGACCCACTTGCTCCAACATTGATCCATTACAGCCCCCTGCAGAACTTCAGAACCAGCACTTAAATTAATGGGAGCAATGTAAAATAGTGACAGCAATTTTTTTTTAAGCATGGGAACAACACTGAGTGGAAGCACTGACTGTGTTTTTTCAGAAGTTCAAGATGAGGATGTGATCAAGTCTCGTATACATAATTTATGCATTTAGAGGGATCTGTACCTGGAATCTTCGCATGTCTCGTGGGTTGCCTGCATTCTTCAAACAGTTCTGATTGCACTTGAGGAAAAACTTTAGAAAGAATCTATAAAAATACAAAATTGAAATCTATTAGATTCATCAAAATGTAAATCCAATTTTTTAGAAGTTTAATAAAATCTAATCATAAATAGTTATACCCAAAAGAATACTGGTAGTGAAATATTACTTTCCTATTCGTTAATGAACTTATTTTAAAGCATAAGATCTCTGTCATAAACAGAACATTATTGCCAAGGAAAGGCAAATTTATATTTTTAATTTTTCAACAACTACAAATGTATTGACTCCAGGCCATATCCTTAACTCGGTGTGGGAAAGTTGATTTCAATGACTCATTGACTTCAAAGGCAATGACTTACACCAGATGAGAATTTGTCTCTATTTTTTTAATACTTTTCATTTTTTCACAACTTATATTAGCAGTAATGACCTCTACGTCGAAAAATTCCAAAGGTAATGATCAATCTTCTGAAAAACACTTGGCTTTGCCTCCGGTTTGGAAACTCGAGCTATTCAAAGGGACTCGATCCAACTCCTGCTGACTCCAGGGAGATCCAGGCAGGATCTGCCCACCGGCAAGGCCCCGGCTCCCTCATTGTTTTTGAAAGGGAAGGAACATGGCAAATTAGGCCCTGTCTTACGACCTCTTCAACCTTTGCCAGCCTTCAGCTGTGAGGAGTCGCTCTACCCAGGGATCGAAATCCAGCTTATTTCTGCTGAGCGGCAACCAGCAATTATTTAGGACTAACCCTTATCATCCAGGCATCTCCCCATAAACCGTTTTTGCAGCAACGCTGCCCCAGGGGAGCACAGCAAGCACTTAGAGGGAAGGGGAAAGCTTGGGAAGATGGAAACTCCTTTCTGCCGCCCTCCTGCACCGCAGGAAAGAGCTGAACTGGGAAGTCTCCACCCTGCAGGTGAAGCAAACCGTGGGATCCTCAGGAGGACATTTGCAGCCTGACATCATCTTTTTTATTTATGCACTCATGGTTTCATCCTTCATAATAAAACTATGTCTTTATTAGGTTTTCTGCCTAATGAGCGACCTCTAATGACAAGCAAAGCTCAGGATTTTCTCCTCAGCCAGAGTTCCTCAGATGCTCCAGTCCAGCAGCTCGTGCTGCCCAACTTTGTACATGCTGGACAGTGAGGTCAGCCAGAGCTTCCACATTCAGAATATGAACAATTTTGATTTATTCACTCATGTCAGTCTTCATAACAGGAGTTTCCATGTGCCTAGAGCATTCCTGGCAAGAGGAAAGACAGAAACATCTTTCCTCCTTTAGCACCCAACAAGGCCCAGCCACAGCCAGCAGAAAGAACAGCAGTGGCTGTACCACATCCTGAAAAGCTTTGAGGGTCATACAGGAGAATTATGGGAGCATCCCCTAGTCAAAAACTTTTTATCCCAGCTCTTCCTCCTTTATTAAACCTTGATCAGCACCCTGATGTTACCCCAGGACACGAATGCTGAAGGAGCAATCCCTCATATCAGAGAGGCAAGCAGGGAAACAACCAGGTTTACTGAAACTGCATAAATAAATCGATGCTGACAGTTCAGCTGAATGCACATTTCTTTAAAACTTCCTATCCCAAAACCTGTAAAGGGGTTTCAGCTGTCGAGCTGAAAAAGGTCTGGATTTCTGTGGTGGATGACATGATCTCCTAGCTCAGATGCTCAGGTTTTCTGGATGCTGTTGCAGGGATATTATCGGTAACTCCATGAAACTGCCTCTGTGTAAGCCACAAGTTCCCTCTAATTTTATCTGCCATGTTTTCGAGTTTTTTTGGTGTTTTGGATTAGTAATTTTTTGATTGTTGTTGTTATGTGAGATACTTATTCTCTCCAGATCATTTGATTATAGGCCAGGTTCACTGGTCATTGCAGGGGGGTTGGAGCTGGATGATCTTTGAGGTCCCTTCCAAGCCAAACCATTCCATGATTCTATTATTCCAAAGGTAACACCCTTTCTGTCAGACCTCTATTTGGTTTTGCACAGCTTCCACCACCCAGACTGTGAGTCTGTGCAAGGCCCAGCTGATGCCCAGCTCCACACAGAACCACCCAGTTCTGGGGAGCCAGGAGTTGGGACCAGCCTCCAGCCTTACGGCTCCTTAGTGCCACATCCAGGCTGAAGAGCAGTATCTTATCTTCTTTTTTTTTTTTTTTTTCTGATCTCAAATGGGTGTTGTGAGGCTTATTGAGCTAATGTTTGTAAATTGCTCGGAAATTCTCCAATGAATTGTGCACTAGGAATGCTAAGTATTGCTCCTCGTGGATTGTTTTTAGCGTGAAGCATTCATGATGAATTGTTTCTATACAGAGAGCTCACATCCTGTCAAAGAAAAAGGGCCATTAAGCACCCTTTCGCTAAACATCAACTGGAACCGGTATTTGTTCAATTATTTGGTGAAAAGGACCCACTCTTGGTGAAATTAGACATCATCAAGTTTATTAGGATGGCTCTGAGCACCGGACTAAATATTGATGCCAGGCTGGAGTGAACAGAAGCAGCACTCTCATTTCAGCTCCACTACATTCCTTGACGCTGAGATATTTTATTTCTCTCTTTACTCTGTGCTTTCAGAGCCCACGGAGCACAGGTGGCATCAGGACAAGCTTTTCAGAGGAAGAGAACATAAGCTAAAAACCACATTCCCAGGCAGGGTGTTCCTCTATGCCAGGAGATGATTGACTTGGTGGTTGCTCTCAGCTGACCACCAAGGACTGTGGGCACTGCAAACCATCCCTCCCACCCCAACCACGAGGTCTCTGTGGCAGAGCAAGAAGCAAGGACCTGGAGCAGAGCTCTGCTTGGTCTCATCTCAAACTTTGAGACAAGAATGAGAATTCAAGCCTTTCTAGGTTTGGCTCTCCCTGTTATATTTTGTATTATAAGCAGAAATTTTAGCCTTCTTTAATAAATACAGCCTTGCAAAACAGCCTTCCCAAGCAGGCTAAGCTGCTCCTAAAATACTGATAGGGAGAAAAATGCACTCTTTGCCATGTCCCCTTGCTCTGATTTTTTCCCACTGCTAGAATGGGGCCTGCTACCCTCTTAATTAAAATGTATTACCTTCCACAAGACTCCACTATTTTAAGCTAAAATTTACATCTTTTATTAACTCACCTCACCTATACACTTAGCTCTGATGCCTCTCGCCGCCCATCTGCCATCCACATAGAGTGAGTCACTTGATATTCCACCCACCAATTTTTCCTAACAACCACTGTGCAATTAAACTCAACACGTTCTGTTGCGAGGTAAATTAGGCACACCTGCGGCCAGCCTGCATTTGAACCGCATCAGAAAAGGACCTAACAAGGTGAGAGCAGTACCACAAAGTTATAGGCCTGTCAAGCAATTAGGTTTTCACTTCTGGGACATCCGCACAGTGCAATTATGCTACACATTACAACCTGGCTAATCTTCTGAACAAATGTCATGTCTCGGAGAAGCGAGGAAAAGCAGTTCATCTGCAAATGTGGCTGCTCTTAAGCCTCCACCTTATGCACATAACAACCTACAGGAGACTTTTTTTTTGTGAAATGAAAGATGGTTTTTTTCCATAGAAGATTTTTTAAACCCTGCAAGTGCTTTTTCATCCTGTTCACCTCTTCTTAACCTCTGTGAGAGGAGGTGGTGTAGCAAATAGACCAGAAAGACTTTTGTACTTAAATTTCAACACTAAGCAAGAAAATCCTCGGTGCTATAAGCACAAGCAGTGGCTTCAGTTTGGTCCAGTTCAAATACTGCTTGGCTACAGGAATATTTGTGGCAGAAAACCACCTATTACACCCCAGAAACACCATTAATAAAATGTATTTCCACCAGACCACAAACCGAAGCGTCACTCATGCAAATAAACCTCAGCAGGAAGTAAACGCTTCATTCTTTTTATTTCAGATATGGAGTCTGAGTGTCCTGGTGGCAAGACCCTGAGCCCAACTCTGCACTGGAGAGAGGTGAGATCATAAGGAAGTCAGTGGAACCATGTAGGGATGGGCAGCTTCCACCCCTTTATCCAGTAGGATCTTCCCAACATCCAACTCAAACCAGGCAGAGGACACAAAACCTTGCCAGCCCTGCAGACAGCATTTTGTTTTACTCCAATAATTCCGTTTCATTTTTATATGTATTTCAGGTACACAGTTTTGTTGTTCAATTAAGCCTGCAGACGAGATCTTGCTGTACTACAAAATACAGAATTGTTAAGATATGACAGGTCTGCTCTACTTTCATGAGTAAAAAAGATGGGATTCGGATCATTATCCATGATTTTGAAGTTCTTTGGAGGAGAAGCTGTCCACAGGGGCATGATGCTGTTAGGGGGTGGAGGAGGGAGAGAGCAGGAGAAGAGGAGACATTTGAAGTCAAATGGTAATTCTCATCCTTTACTCGATTACCCTTTAATTGGCTTTTTCCTAAGAAATATCTGACAACCACTTTGCATATCTCTTTTCCAGAGCCTAGTAAACAAAGGATTTAATACTCTTGTTATGAAAGGAAAAATCTTTCCTCTGTCAGAAAATCTTTGGCTTTAGCACCAATAAACTCTTTATTACTGCTAAACTTGGATTTGCTGCTCGATCGCAGAGAGGCGATAAAAACTCTAACCTGTCATTAGTGCATTATGCTTAATTGTGTACAGTATGTTTCCAGTTGCATCTGTTGGCCCATTATCAAAATGACCATTATGTACACTAATTCCCTGACCCTGTCTTTATTTCCCTAAAGAGTCATAATCTTTCACAGTAGGTATCAGAGTAAATCAAGCTTGAAATATGGGCTTTATTTACTTGTTTCTCCCAGGCAGAGTGGAAGTCTGTAGCTAAAGACAAACTGCTGGAGATAAGTAGCAAGGAGGTTGTAATGTTCTCCTTGGAGGAAGGGTGGAAGCTACTGGGTGACCACTGGAAGACTAAAAAATGTCACCCCATTTCCTTTCCAGTTTGGTTTTGTTATCATTTTTGTCCTCATGTTATCAAAGGTAACATGAGGACAAGGAGTCATTTATTTCTAGTTTGTTGTTCAACTACAA